CCCCCCCCCCCCCCCGCCCCACCCCGCACAACTATGTATAACTTTCTTGTTACTTTCTTACAAAACTGTGCTGGGTTTAGATGTAGTCCAACCCAATAACAAAAATACTTCCTCGTCATAAGGTCTATTGTTGCTCTAAGTTCAAACGTTTCAATAAATACTTTATAAAAAATCTATTTCGGAATGTTGTTGCTTTTGTCTGATGAATATAATCAATCTGTTGCCAGATTATGTCACAGCCTTATCGCTTGATTCTAAGTAAATGCCATATTTACTCCACTGTTTAGATCTGCCAGCGTGTGAGTCATCGCCCACCATCCCCAACCGTCCTCATATCCAGTGATTACTGGAGCCCCCGTACAGCCTGGGCAGGTGGCGCTGCTGTAGGTAGTAACCCTCAAAGACAGTCGCTGTTTTCCCGCCATTTGACGGAAAACACGCTTAAGTATCCCAGCCCTATCCGGAATCTTCCGGTACTCCAACAGCTGTCCGATTGAAATCGTCTTGGGCGAGCCGTGAGGATGGGACACAATTATAGCGTAATCAATCATGGACTGTTCTTTCAGAGAGCGCGGTATGGACGATCCTAAGAGTAAAGCCGTTTCAGCCAGTCGATGAATCTTGTGGATGAAATCGACGTCGTGCGTGATGCAGCGTACCACGATACATTCCTCGTCACTAGAGTCTCTTTTCACTTCAAAACCTCGTGCGGTCATGACACTAAGACGGTTGTCAGTGTCGTAGAAAAACTCCATCTCTGCATTCCTTGCTTCTTCCACGTCAAAGACAAGATGTTTGCTGGTCCGGATGTCGATAAAGCCATAGACACTGTGTTCACAAGCCTAGAGAAAGAGAAAGTTCTCTAATTCAAAATATATTTTCACAAAACACACAAGCCAAATAAAACATTTATACATACATAATATGTAGACAAACCTGTCCAAGACGGAATCGAAAAGGAGGCAGTAAAAAATCCATCATAAACATTTTCAATCTTTGATGACAGGGGAATTAGGGGTCAGGGAGGGGTTCCAGAGGGCCAGCCCGTATATGATGGGATCAATGGACGCCTGTCAGATTGTCTAGAAGTGGTCAAACCTTCACACCTCCCAGGGGCTATCTTAGCCTCTCTGGTAATGGTATCTACTGCCACCAGTGCTTAAATCTCATTTGCTCATTGTTTGACTTATTACAAAAAGAAACAACTTTTACTGGTTGTCTCATTTGTTTCCATCCGTAACTCCATCTAACGTTGTAATAATTACAACCAACCAATACCACCCCTCAAGTGCATGTAACAGCAATAAGAGGGATTTTTTGGGACTTAATGGTCATAACAGAAATTTAACATGTCTGAGTTGAAGTGGTTAATCCTTTAAATTCACTAGTTCTGGGAAGAAACATACCCTTTTCGTTTCATTACAAGGGCGTAATAAATATCGTGTGTATCCCCCTGCTGACTGCATAACTACTTGGCAAATCGTAGGGAAGAGATGGCGACTTGTAAGAATATGGATGGCTCTCTACTCTTCTACCTTGGCTTGAAAATTTTCATCAAGAGTAGTAGGAGCGATTGACCCCTGACACACGTGTCTGAAATGTCCGTTAAAGTTCAAATCAGGCGAATTTTAGGGCCGAGGGTGTTAAAAAAAACCCAAACAAAACTAAACAACTTTTTTTCTGAACATCTCGCACAAAATTTGTACTAGAATGTTATAATTTGGAACAGAAATATCATCCAAAAAGAATATGTTAATATAAAATTCATAAAGAAATAAACAATTGTTTTCGAAAACAAAACTGAATTTCTTAACGACCACCTTTAAATGCAAGATGCAGCAACTTAAAAGATAACGTAAGGAGAGTCACTGGTTTGTTTTCTCCCGCCCTTTTCCTATTAAAGTCTAATCTTTCTATCCCTGTAACGTTTAAACAATATTTCTTTTATCTAACAGAGTTTTTTTTTATATTTATAAAATTCTGGAATTCTGAGAACCAGTGCTCTATATGTTCTTCTTTGGACTCGACACATTTTAACGCGTGCTTTTTCATGTTGAGTGGTGGCCAAAGGCAAAGATACACTCAACCATGAGTACTCAAAGCCACACACACTGTACACCTTACAGTATGGAGTTATTTCACGAGACAATATGGGGTAGGGTGAGGTTGCCCAAATAGACAGCATAATATTTGTGAAAGGTGAATATGGGCTTTGCCGAGGAACAAAATGTTAAAGAGGAATGTTCACGCTTTTCAGTACGATGGAGGAATCATGAACACATTGCTGTCCTCTGATTCATGTCAGTTTCGTGAAAAGGAACATGGTACAGTCGTAGATGAAGATCTACCTTGATAATACAGACCGTTGAGATGTAGGAAAGTCTTAGGCCGGTCCCAGACTAGCTCTGTAGGGCTGACCTGTAGGTGGCCTGGCTCGCACCGTGCAAATGAATGTAAACAGTAAACATTATCGAGTGCTAAAGCAGCGTAGCTGAGTCGTCTGTTTTTTGTCAGCAGAGCTGCGCGATGCGTCAAACGTGTTATTTAACAGTGTTGTGAAAATGGCGGACATGTCCGCCTCGCTTTGTGTTTATTTTCGATTGAAACTCTTCACAGATCATCAAAATCAACAAGAAGTGAGTATTATTAGGTGCTTTACTATTAAATATTGATGCTGGCATCAACACTTGGCCACTAAATCACCAAGAAATGCACTTTATCATACTTTGAAACTTCGAATCGAGAGAAAAAACTTGA